GTATTTAGTTCTTCCATCAACAGACTCAGGAAAGTTCCATAATCTTTCTGTCCCTTAGTTCCTATGTCTCCACTGAAAGTTAAACTTTTATGAGAGTTTAATGTGAACTAGCCATTGTGAATATAAAAGAAATCATTGTAAAATTTAATTGTATGATTTCATAACTAAATTATTCCAATACTGTTTTTAAATTCTTTGAGCTTAAATCCTTATAGTTTGAGTTTTATTTTGACTTAGTGATTTCAGATATTTCAATCCACAATCAGTCTCACTGTTTTTCAGCCTGTGGTAAGACTGAAAAATTGTGGCAGAAAGGCACTGTGGAGAAAGGGTCAGGTAACTCATATGTTGACATGAAAGGTTTGGACAGTATCCTAACTCTTCAAAGTTTGGTCTGTGGACCAGAGAACAGCACTGGCATCTCCCATGAACTTGGAGGAAATGCAGAGGTTAAATCCAATTTTAAGTCTACTGAATCAGAATCTACATTTTAACCAGATCCCCTGTCCACTGATTGACACCTTAAAATTTGAAAATTAATGAACTCTATGACATTCATTTAGACTTGTGTGGAAGGGCAGCACATATCAGAGAGCCCAGCATTAGACCACTAGGTTATATAGCTTGAGTCATCTTGGAAGAGTGAGCTTCTAAACACATGAGTTCAGATTTTGTGTCCTTTCAACTGCAAAATGGTAAACAGTAGTTCTCTCCTGGGGCTACTGTAGGAATTGCCAAGGACTGTGCAAGCAGTTTAGTATAGTACCATGACATACTCCAAACTCACCTAATTAATTAGTAGATATTTTCTGAAGCTCTTTCTGTGTATGTCAGATTTGTGCTGGAATCTGAATGGAGCAAAACATAAAACACAAAACAAAATCCTTACCTCCATGAAACTTTCACTCTGACAAAGGAGACAAGCAATAAAAGAGTTGTCTTAGTTACTTTTTTTTCTCGCTGCTGGGAGAAAATACCTGACACCCAAAATAAAGGAAGGAAAAGTTCATTTTTTAAGGGTTGGAGGTTTCAGTCCATACTCAGCTGGCTCCAAGCCACAGGGTAACATGGCAGGCTGCCATTTATGGCTAGTTGCAAGCAGCAAGGTGTTAACCAACTGGCTCCACCCCTAGGCGGGTGTAGCACTCACACCACCAATTGGAGCACTAGATAAGGAACCAATCACAAACGCTAGATTTGGTCTAGTTCATATCTGCCCAAGGCTTGGGGGCCACTCACATAAACTGTGCTAATAGTGGGCTTGTTTTTTAAAAAAGGAAAAAATCTGTCACCTATTCATCTGTCTCATAATGTCAGTAGCAACAGGGCTATTATAGACATGAAATTCAGCAAACATTTTCAAAGAAAGCAAATGAGCCAAAATCTGAATTTGCTGTTATTAAATTAGTATCTGTAGCAAAGTTCTAGAAACATAGCTGAACATTTTATATACACTCATGTTTTAAGAATTCTTTGGCACCAGAATAGTAGAGAAACTTGCTGGAATAAAGATATTGAATGGAAATGATATATTTAAGGCAAAAGTTTATGAAATCATTTTTTGTCGCTGTTATATAGTTGTTAAATAACCTTTCTCATTCCAATTTTGAGGTTTAAAAGTTATTATTATTCTTTAGCCTGATTCAGAAACAAAAAGAACAGCCTCTCAAAACCCATAACTCAGCATTCAAGAAAACATGAAATTCTATATATCTCGCAACTTAATCTGAGCATAGATAAAACCTAAAACTTTGATATATTAATATGTTGATGTTAATAATACTTGTCTTTTTCTCCATAGAGATAAAAAATTCCATACACCTTTTTATAGAAGTGGATGTTTAATTCCACAATTTAGCTACATTCCAGTTTATGTTTTTGCCTAAGAATATCAAGTCCACGGACTTAGCAGGTATTTTTCTTTATTTCTCTTTCCTATACAACAAAGAAGCAAACAAATAACTGTTAGGTAGCTTCTATATTCCAACACAGATGGAGTATCTTAATAATGGGAAAATGATCTCACACTTTAAAACGCTTTGATATAAAAGTGCCATCTAAAAAGGAAGTTATTATTCTTAGTTATAATACCCTTAAAAAGGGATTTGCTATCTAAATGGCTGCTGAAACTTAACTGCCGAATTGCTTATAATGCTACAATCAGTGAAGGCCAAATTCAATAAAACCTCCATCCGGCATTCACATTGAGAAGACCCACATGTGCCTTTAATTTTTTTTTTTTTAAATTTCCTGGGCTTCCGGCCCAGAAATTGAATGGAAATTTTATTTAAACCTGCTCCTGTGTATCAACTTTTGGTAAACATCAGGGTTTTAGCTAACTCATTATGCTTTATATTTTGGGTAAAAGGTTATAAAATGATAGATATCTGCTGTATGCATATGTTTCTATGCTTTCACCTGCTCCGACTAGGAAACGGGCTTGAACTAAAAATTCATCAGCTCTGCTACAAATTTTAGCTTGCCCTCACCTTCCTTCTATAGCCATAAGATTCAAAATTCCATTAAATCCCTTTCCAGTGCTAATCAGCTTTTACCAGCACAGGCAATATAATCTGAGTTTGGAAATGACTAATTATTTGGAGACGGTTGTGAGGGGTTAGGGTTTAGATTTCTGGCTAATTTAAAGAAGCATTTCTCTGTCTCTTTTGCTGTCATTTTGTTGCCTGGTGTCAGGTCTCCCCTGCCCCCATAAGAATGCTCTTTCACTCCCCATTAGACACAGCATATATGTATGTATTAGAAAAATGTATTATGAGGCATCAACTTGAAAATATTTTTAAAAAAAGAGACAGGCCTGTGATGGATGTGGGTATGGCAGTAATTGCACCTGCTAGGTGCAAGACATGAGCATAATTTGCATGTAAAGTTCTTTCAGTTCCTTCCAGAAGACCAGTTCTACCCAATAAAACATTTTGTCACACTCAGGGGGTTTGCCAACTCGTTCCCAGATTGCAAGCAAAAAGATTATTTACAGTAACCACTAACAACTGAAACGACTATAAACAATCTTTTCCGTACCTGTTCTATTTTTTTCCCTCTTTTGCTAAGCAGAGAGACCTTAAGGAGTACAAATTTACTGCAATTTAATTCTGATGGGAAAAAGAACATTATTTTTATTTATAGCACCATGCTCTATCTATGCCTGCCTCTTCCATCTCTTCAAAACATAAATAAGTCTAGCTTTTTTTTTTTTTTTGGTTTGTTTTAATCCAGCCACTATTCTTACAAGGATGAACAGTTTCCTGATAAAGTGAGAGATTGAGCAAAAGGAACCAACATCAGAGGAAGTTCCCTCCTGTATTCTGGAACCCTGCTGTGAGCTCTTGGGCAAGACAGCACACTTCCAGAAATAGTTCCTGGGGGTGGAGGAGGGCACCCGATTCACTCACTGAAGATTAGAGCCAAGGTAAGGGCTGGAGGCCAGTATGTGGGCTTCACCATGGGGAGCTGTGTCCTGCTTATAGTTGTATTTACAGCCTGTCTTTTAAACTCCCTCAACTTTGCTCAGAAGTTCAAGTTCCATTCTGAATTGCAGGGGACCAGACACATTTCTTGGGGAAATGAGCAAGAAGGAGAAAAAGCAGTCAAAACAGTCATTTCTCTAGACACTGACTTTCAGATCTGGTGTGCCAGGGCAGCTGCCTTCCATTCGCACAGTTTTATACTCACTCAGGTAGGAATCACTAGGGAGAAGAGGGGAAAGGAAGAAAGGAGACGGGAAGAAGGGGGAATGGGAACAGAAAATAATTGAGAACAGGGGAGGGGGAAATGAGAGAAATGAATTGGGGAGGAAGCAGAGGGGAGGAGAAGGGAGGAGAAGGGAGGGGAGAAAGGACTGCAAACTTAAGTGTATTGAAACTAACATGACAAGGTGTTTTAATATAAAGGGAAAACAAAGTAAAGATAACATTTTTTTTAAATGTCAAACAATTACAAAATATAAAGTCTCACCCACAAGGACTATTGTTAACTGTATCCTGAGGTATCCTTCTAGAAATCCTCAAGGCATACAGGTCGCTGTTTGCTCAGAGAACAAAAGCTTCACACTCTTCACGTATCAATTTCTTTCTCTTAGTACCTCTTGAAGGTCATTATGTCAATGCTTAGATGCACCTCCCTCCCTGTGGCTATTGTATTATATTCCATTGTCCGTACCCATTTGAATTTATTAGTTACTCCTTGGGTGATGGACCGGTAGATGTTGACAACTGTTTTCCACCTAGAAGTAAAGCTGCATCCTTTGCGCAGGTACTAGATGGCTTGCCTAGAAGTTTAGCTGAAAGATTTGGGGCTTAAACAAGGTTTGTGTTCCAGTCTAGGTTCTGTAACGGACCATAATCTTTAAGTGCTTAGGCAAATACAGGCGGTAAGATCTATTTAATCTAGTCCCTGTAAGAATACAATTGCGATTATTCCTGTAACTGACTCATTGAAACCTCAGACAAATTAATTTCTTCCTCACTGTACCAGGGAATAATAATACATACAGGGTTGCTCTGGGGACTGCATGAACTAATTCATTTAAATAGCACAGTCCACTACCGGGCAGATAGCGGAACCTTCATAATGATCTGCTTTAATAATAAGATAGGTGATCTGAGCACTTGTCTCTGCGCTGCTGCGGGTTTTCCTAGAAGTGCAATTCCTGCCCTTAACCCCCTGCTCCCCGGATCCCAGGTGTGCGAAGCGAGGCCACCCAGCGGTGACCCGAGCCGCTGCCTCGGCCTCGGAGGCCCAAGGCACGCGGGTGCACGCGCCCCGCGCGGGCGAGCGCCAGGTTCTGCGGTGCGGGGAAGGGGCCCCGCCAGCGCGCGAGGCGTGGGGCCCCGTTGGCTGGCGCGCCGCGCTCCCCGCCCCTCTCTCCTGCCGCCTCCCTCCTCCCGTCCAGCCCCGCTCGGCCGGCGCAGACAGCGCTCTCTCGGCGGCGCAGGCAGCGGCACAGCAGCCAGGCGCGCGGCGGCGGCTGGCGGGCGGGCGGGCGCCGCGGGTTCGGCAGGGAACGGCGCGGACGGGGGCGCGCACGGCGGCCCCCGGGGCCCGGACTAGCGGCTGCGGCGGGCGGGCCGGCGGGGCGGGCGCTCTGCAGGCTTCGGTGACCAGGTAGGTCGGGGATGTCAGGCTCCGCTAGGGCGCAGGTATAACCCTCCCGCCAGGGAAACTTTACGCGCTGCTTTGGAGCCTCTGGAGCTCCAAAGTTTGTTAGCTAGGAAATGCACCTGACAGATGGAGAATAAAAGGTGGTTTTTCCCAGCCGACTTATTGTGGGGCGATTGTTTTTCTTCCTCTGGGGTGAAGATTGGTTTCGGGGTGATAAGGTTCTGCCTCCACAGCTTGAGTGCTGGGAGACACGAGGATGGGTCCCTTTGACTTGCCTTTAGCGTAGTGGATTTGGCCTGTGAAAGTTGAAAAATAAAAAGTTATGAACCATAGGGATGCCGAGAAAGAATCCTGTCTGCATGGAGCATGGGTGGGAATAGGGTACTTTTCTGCCACAAGCTCTTTAGGTCTGAGGAAGCCAGGGATGGAGAATTCCTCCATTGCCAATCAAGTTTTCCAGGCTGCGTGTTCTTTCCACGCACAAATCTGCAGCCTTGAATGGATACCTTTTCGTATTTATTTTGCACATTTTCTCTGATGGACTATAGCTCAGATTTCTTGAGCTTTGACCCGAGAGTCTGCTTCTGTGCTCTCCAAGAGTCCTACGAAGCTCTCCAAGCAGGAGAAACGGAAAACCAGGAAGTAGCAACCAGGCACCCCGAGTTACAGCACCATCAGGATTTTTTTTTTTTTTTTTTTTTTTGCTTCTTTTTCTTTTGGTTGCCTGAAATGAAGAAACAGCTTTTGGCCTCTGTGGAAAGCTCCGCTTCACTCACCAATCCGTATGTCTTTCCCTGTATGGCATTTCCTTATTGATTTACAACCAGGAGGTGCGCTCAAAAGAATGATTTAATAACAAACGTTGCAGGCTTAGGTTGCAGACAGCAAACCTCTGTTCAGAGCAAAAGGGAGGGGAACAGACAGAGCTCTAGGAAAGGGGTATCCAGTCCTTTACCCTTAGCCCAAGCATGAGGAAACAGAGCTAAGGGAGCCAGGGAAAGCAATAGATGGAGATGTGCGAGGTGCAGAAGGGGGATCAGAAACCTTCGCTCACATAGCTCACATAGTGAGTGAATCCAGAAATATTCTAAATGATTAAGCAAGAATAACTCGACTCCTCTGTACTGTGGTTTCTGTCTACTCCCACAGAGATGAATAAATACTAGCTCAAAAAGAATCTTGGTCTGTAAATAGATTAAAAACAGGAATTAATCAGAATAATGAGTCAGAGTCCATCACAGATTGAAAGGGGAAGTAATTGCCTTTGAAAGAGCTATTATATCCCAATATCAGTTAAATGTGTTACTTTTGCTTTGCTAGCTGTGTTTACTAACATCAGCCTGCCTTTGGCTGCAATAACCTGGCACCTAGTTTGTGGTTTTAACCCTTTGTCTGTCATGGTGCTGGGGAGGAAGTTGTCTGCAGGTTAATATTCACTTACAGTTGTAGAATATTTGCACTCATATATGCAAATCACTGTTTGTAACAGGACAGGTCGTTGTTTGTTCATAAAGCCATCTGATAGGGTTTAGCCCTGAATGGTAAGATGTTTGTATGAAAATATGAATGGAACCAGGCACTTCAGATACTTGCTTGAAATCAATTGAGAGTCAACATGTGGTTTGAAGACCCCCCGGAGGGGCCCTATCCTCCAGGCAAATATAGTAAATTGCTGCATACTTGTTTTAGATGAGTGTGGAGGTTCAATGCCAGTAAGTGGCCCTTGTGTCTAAAGGTGGGAGAGCTGAATCACCAAAAGATTAATTGATTTGCTGGTTAATAGATTCAGGCAGTGAACACCTCCCTACAGTAGCATTCAGCCCCATGTCCTTCTCACTGTCTGGATGTCTTTAATGTCTGCTTGAAGACATGAAGTCATTAAGTATATTTCTCTAGAAGAACTCTAACTTTTAAACATCCTTCACAACATAACTGGATAGCCCGTGTTTCTTAAAATGGCAACAAAATATTTAATAGCATCAAAGTGCTGAGCAATTTCAAGCAGAGCAAAGATTAGCCGTGGAAAACAAGCTGTAGCCTTTCAGTTGCTGATTTATGTTCAATTTTATCACTGTCACATTTCATATATGCCTAGTTATTACAAACTAATAGCCTGTTTGTTCTGCTAGCAAAATATGCATCTTTTTCTAAGTGCCTAACTCCTTCTGGTTCATTCAGTAAGCATCTAGCTTTGTTTTTACTGCATAATTGAAGTGTCCAACTTGAAGTTCTCATTAACTTCTAATATGTTTTGTGCTGGAAGAGTATATAAATATAATTGCCCCTTTCAAACTGCCAGATCTATATATCACTTCATTGTGACAATGCCACAAAACAGAGATGCCTGGTTCAATGTACTGTTTCCCAATTTTCATTCAGTTAGTGCTTAGCATTGCGACCATGTTAATTTTATGCAGTGGGAGATATTCCTATGCCAGGGAGGCTTACTGATGCTGTGCATATCTTCTTACTGTCTCTGATTCAGTCATCCCCTAGTACACCTTTAGTCCGTTTTCGCTTGACTGGTTATTTTATGCCTTTGAAGTTAAGCATCTCTAAAGTGCTTGCCCATGGTTTTTAATGTGCATATGTGCAAAGACATGTTATTTTACTTTGGATGTATATTTTATTGTCATTTAGTGCTGATGGACCATTTCCCTTCTTAGGCTGGATAATAATGCAGTAGATAATATCCTTGTTGCAGAGATTTTAGCAATAGTAATGAATATGGGACAATAAAATCATTTTAGAAATTCTTTGAAACTGAGAGGTGATAATTCTTGTTCTCAGATACAGATACAGATCTAATTTGTATCAAATTTTCATAGACAGATCTCATGGGCCAAGTAGTTTTGGTTTAAAATCCACCTCCACCTCTCCCATCTTCCAAAAACAGTGAACATTGCTTTGGAAAATTTGCTGCAGTAGAAATGTACTCCCTGGTTGAAACTTTGTATGCCAAGTTTCAATCCATAGTATGTTTTTATTTTCCTGCTTTTATTGTACGTGTTATAAACAAGAAATAAGGGTCTGTAATAGAAGTGCTGGCAGAACTTTATGGCATTTCAAACAGCTCTGCTGCTTGGAATGTAAATATTTGTAGCATCTTTACTGTGCAAGAGGCTGCCTTGCACTGAGTGAGGGAAATCACAATTTTATTAAGTAGGATATGATAATTCAGACAGTATGCATATTCCTTATTGGAGACATATTGGCATTTGAAGAAATAGATTATCTATGTTACAGCAATTCCACAGCACTCTCTCAGGTGCCTTTATAACGCAGATTGTAAATTTTATTTCTGAAGCCAGAGAAATTTTGTCCTGTTTGTTTTCTAGGTTGTTTAGCTTTGGATGCCTTTCTGATGTTGTGACATGAGATGCGTAACTCAAAACCCACTTTGATTATGTTCTGACAAATGACCCTGCCAATATATTATCTTAATAGTAGAAAGAATTCTTCGGGCCTTACAATTCTTCAAAGACACTTATTTTGGAAAACCAGAACAGCTCAGATCTCCTGTGTCCTTTGATTCGACGCTGAAAGACTTCTCACCTTTGCCCACCCACCTCCACTGCATCCCCTGTTTTAAGTCACCATTTTCTGTGTTGGATCCTCTGCTCCGGTTCCCATGTCTTCTTTTCTGCTTCTTTTTCCCAGATTATTCTGCATAGCTGGCCCATTTGTTTAAAAAAAAAGTTACTTAAAATGAATACTCATCTACCAAGAATGCTTTAATGGATTTCTGTTGCATTTAGAATAAAATCCAAATGATGAGATATTACCTACAAAGCTTTGTGATATTTAAACACTATCTGTTCCTTCAACACCTCCTAGCATTTGGGAAAAAGAGATTTGGAGTTAGGCAGTTTTTCTTAGTGTACTCTCTCTGTCTCGCTCTGTCTCTGTCTCTGTCTCTGTCTCTGTCTCTCTCTCTCTCACACACACACACACACACACACACACACACACACGATTTTTGGCTGCTGCCCATCCTTGGATCACAATTTAATTAACATTTACACAGAGGGGGGTTTTTGGCTCTTAGATTCTTTCCTCTTCTCTATTAGGACACCTCACATACACTCTCTCTGTTCATTTTCTTCATAGCATTTCTTATCACTTACTTGAAACTGGCCATTTCGTTAGCTGATTTCTCCTACACTGTCCTGTAGGGAACCTTGCAAGTAGTGTCATGTGTGTTTGACTCATCATTGTCCTGCAACAGCCGGTCAGAGTGCCTGACTCTGGAGCTTGATTAACCCAGGAGAGCTAAGCTTCTGGGATGCTTAGTTTGCAGCCCATATTATCTTGTGACCAACGGGCATATCAAGAAAGTCCATATTTACAGTGATTTCATGGCCCCTTGTTGTGACCTCTGAGATCTCTGGGACATCTGCTACTTTAACCACGCTGCGTCCCATAGATTCATCATTTCAGGTTGCTTTCAGTGCGGATGATATTTTTTCCTTCACTGTCATCATGGCCATCTAGGCATGTGGCTTCAGTGATCTGTGATTTCATCTTTTCCTTTTGTGTTTGTAACCAGTCACCTGATTAACAACACAGAACAATCATTAAGATTATCATATTCCATGCCACAGTCTAAGCACTGAACTTCCTTTATGATTTTCACCTAAAAGAGTCACCCTACATCTCCCACTCGTTTTCTTGCTCCAGTCTGTCTGAACAAAACTGCGCCACTAATCCATAAATCAGAGGCTTTGGGTCAATGGACATCCACTGTCTAGAAAGATAAACATCCAGGTTATCTTGTTACTTCTGTATAATTCTAACCTGAGTCAATAATCCAGCTATGGGGATCTTCTTTAAATGCCTTGAAAACTCAACAATATTCTCTTGGCTTTAGGGTCTTTGCATGAACCAAACAACCCACGATTTCTCCTCTACTACCCTCCTTCACATGTTACCCGTGGCTTCCTCCTACCCCATTTTCACTGTGATTTCTGCCAGGAAAGCTATTGACTCCCACCAGGTCAACGGGTCTGAGTGTAACCAACCATCCATTCCTCCAAAATGCTTGACCGTCCTCCAAACAGGTTAAAGCCTCACATTTTCTGAGCTATTTTTTCTTGTTATGGATTACATCTAGGTGCTCCTCAGTAGTCTCCTGTGCTCTTAGGTAAGGCTTATGGAAGACAATTAGATTATGGGGCAAGTATAATGCACTTGGGGTCTGGTTGGAAGAGGCGAGTCATGACTTGAAAGATGGGTCTCCCTCACTGGCTCCCCTTTCTCTTGTTTGCTCCCTGGCCACCATGATGTGAGCAGCTTTCTCACCATGATGTGAGACTCCAGGGCAGAGTCTTCTCCGATGCCACTACTGCCTCAGAGCCAGAGGACGGTGGGCTGAAACTTCTAAAAGTCAAGAGCCAGAGTACCACGTACCTGTCTTACTTTAAATCGTAGGTATTGGGTGTTTTGTCCTTGTTACAAAAAAGTACCTAAGTTAACTATCAGCCATTAAAAAATATCTTATTTATAGGGAAAGGAAATTAAAACTTAGTTTAGTGAATTTATTTAATATCTGCCTTTTCTCATTCTTTAGGGTTGGAAGACAACTGCAAATTAGGACCTTGGTAAATATTTGTATAGTGAAATTCTGATGTCTTTCATTGTCATGAAATTCTGTTTTGTTGTTGCCTTTTCTTGTCTTACAATTACAGTTATTTCAGTATATAATGGCTGGATTTCATTTTGCTTTGCATAGTTTCTAAGTGACAAACCATGAGCTCACAACAGATGAAATTCTTGATTTCATCTCAATTTAAAAAGTTCTGTGGCAAATATTGGCTGTAAGGGAAGCATAAATTAAAGGTTGCTAAGTCCTAAGGGCTGACCTTTCACTGAATGAGCTCATTTTAATGCAAGAGAGTAATTTAGAATTCTCAAAATCCACTCATTATTTTATTAGATTAAAATATAGATGTATGAAATAAATGAGTAAATGATTATCTCACAACTAATCAAAAGTATGTCTTCCAAATTTGTAAATAATTTGTTACAAATAGGCGAGAACTTTTTGAATCTTGAGAAGTTTCATCAGTGACCTGTCAAAGAGAAATCTCTCCTCTTAGTGCTGAAATGTTCCATTTCTCTTTCTGTAATTTCCAATTTACTTTCCTTCTGTAGAAGTATTCTGAGGTGCTGTTGAAATGACAGAAATTCCTTGGCCCTTGTAAGACTTATTGAATCATGGTGGGTAAAGCTTGTAAACACGCAGTTTTAAAGTTTTTATTTTAAAATAACTATGGGCTGGGAGAAAATTTCAAAAATAATACAAAGCATTCTGTATATTCTTCAGTCAGCATTTCCTTGAGGTTACACTGTATATAAATATAGAGTAACATTAGAACCAGGAAACTGACAGGAATATATTAATGTTAGCTGGCAACAGACAATGTTCAGTGTTTGCCAATTTTACGTTATTTTATTTGATGTGATTTTTATTACTTATTTATTTATCTTATTTGAAAGAGGATAAAATCAAGGAAAATAAAACAGAACAAAACCAATCAAAATAAACTACTATAAGTGACACAGGACTTCAAAATCTTATGAAATCAGCAACTGTTACCATAATGCCTTTTGTTGTCTTCAAAATAGCTGCAGATATTTTCAGACATAGTGAAAATCGAGCAGAACAGAATAGATTAGAAACAATTCAAACAAAACAATGAATGCAATAAAGGACTTTAAAGTAAGCTAACAGTAAATCCAAAATGGCTACCATAATACATTTTGCTGTCTTTTAAATAGCTGTTTATGCCATCAGAGTTAACATAATCAAACAAAACAAAAGAGAATAAAACCCAACCCAACAAAACAATGAAAATGCTACGGTTTTCAGGCAGGGGCCACCTCCTTGTGAGAACAGGTTTTTTCCTCAAGAAATCCAAGAATGGCACTGACCCTTGGGGAGAGGCTTGGGTGTGGCTGTCCCCACTCCAGCAGGGGCCTGACCACAGTGCTGGTTTCCAAGCAAGGACCACCTCCTTGTGAGGCCTGGTTCTCTCCTCCTCTGCAGTCCTTGAATGGTACTGACTCACAGAGAGAGGCTGGAATGTGGTTATCCTGACTCTGGCAGTGGCCTGCACATGGCACTGGTTTCCCTGTGGGGATCACTACCTTGTGAAACCTGGTTCTCCCCCTCCACAGTCCACAAATGGGGCATACTCACAGAGAGAGGCTTGGGTGTGTCTTGTGTTTGCCAATTTTAAAACCTGATTTCATTAGTACTGTATGTGTGTTGCTTTATGCCATTCTATCCCATGTATATATTCATACATTATCATTTTTTTTTTTTTTTGGTCTTTTTCGTTTTTTTATCGGTGCCAGGGATCGAACTCACGACTGCCTGCTTGCAAGGCAGGCGCTTATGCCACTGAGCTAAATCCCCAGTCCCTCATACATTATCATTTTGATTGAAAGAATAAATGTCCTGAGACACTTATTCGCTAGCATCCACTAATGCAACATTTTTGTTAGTGTTTTATCCTTTTCATAGACCTTCTTGTGTGTAAGTATTTCTTTTTAAATACCACTGATTGTTTCACCTTGCAAATGCTTGTATGTAAATGTAGCTGTGAAATAGATATCTTGAGGTTTTTCTACATCTTAATATGACATTTCGGGGTTTTCTGTGTCATGAGTTCGGGAATGTGCATTGACTTTTTGTACTCCATTTGAAAAGTTCTGCAGACAGCACATATGTTTGTTTATTTGTGGGCTCAAACTTGGGCAGGGTTTTTATACAGCCACAGCAAGAGGATGACTGAATACTTCTTTGCATGTTCTTAAGGAATTGCATTCCATTTTTATTTTTTACATAGATATAGTCTTTAAAATAACTTAATGCATTGCAAAGATGGTAATGACACTCTTCAGCAATTAAAATCAACCTAAACAATGCAACTAGAGATCTAATCTGATGCCTGTTACTCACTTGGTCTGGTCGCCTCCCTGCATGTAAAGCAGCGGGAAGAGGCTGATTACCAGTCCTCGTTACTAATTCTGGTGAATATTCTGAGGGCTCTGGAATACAGATAAGGCATGTTTGTACCAAAGTCGGTGCGTGTGACAGATCCTCCCTCACCCCTACCAATTCTCATAGCCTACAGAAGCTTTTACATTTGCATGTATTAGACAATTTAAGTCATTTTTCTCTACTACACTAAGTGAAGCTTTGCAAGGGCTTTTTCTGGGATAAACTAAGTGCTGTGTGCCTAGACCAGGTGGCTTTGAAATTTGAGCCTGATAGGCCAAAGGTTCTTTCTCTTTCTCATTCCATTAAATGGAATTTCTTACATGCTATGTAAAGATATACCTGCTCATACGTAATGTTAATTTATTGGGTGAGTTCACTAATAGCAACTGATATTTTCCTCTATGCATTGTTTTCTATAGTGTTCCAAGGCAATACAACTTTTGGAAAAGGAGTAAAAAGGTCTCAGTATATAAGTTTTATTATGTCATGGAACAGCTCACATATTCTGTGAAGCTACTTAAAAGTAGAAGGTGTATTTTTGCATGATGGGAAGTTCTAAAATGTCGAGATTATCTCCTTCAAACAGTACCATAATTACCTGCTGCTAAGAAGTTTTTTTTTTTTTTTCATTTTAAAACAAAAAAGAAAAACTACTACAGAATTTCAAAACAAAATTTATAGAAAATTAACAATGGTTATTATATTTGCAAATTCTTATCTTCAAAATTGTTCAGATTACAAGATACAGGCATGAAAGATCAAACAATGAAAGCACAAACTATTGTTTATTCCTTTCCCTTCTTTCTTTTCTCTTTTCCCCTTCTAGTTCTTACGTTATAATTTCCTGGGAGCTATCTTTTGTCATTTGTATAGAAATTACTTACGGGGTTTTCCCTATGTCTTGTTTTTCCATCCTTCCGTGTGTATGATTTCATTATTTCTTTGTCATTTTTCTTATTGTCCTCTTTGACTCACTAAACCACCACCCCATCCATACACGTGCATGTGCGCACACATGTGTACTAGCACACAATGCACAAGAAGATATCGATTAGGATGGGTGATGGAATAAACTCCAAAACATAACTTTGTAAGGTAATAAATACAGATATTTTATAGATGTTCAAGCAAAAAAAGATTAAAATCAAATGAGAGAGAAACACTTCGCATTGTGTATGCGATTAGTGTGTCCCTGCTATTCATTCTCTCTTCCTGTGCTGCTGTGGCTGCCTCCTCCTTTTCCTCTTCCCCTTCCCTTTCTCTCCTTTGTCCTATTTTTCCTGCCTATGGTAGGGCTATATTTTAAAGGTGATCGATCCATCCTTACTGATTCCTACTAGGTAAACTGTTTCAATTGTCTCTAATTGCAATTATTACATTTATTTGATTACTTGGTTCCTTTTTTAAGATAGAGGATAGGATGGGATTGGTGAGATTCATTAAATTTGGTCTTGGAGAGGCATAACTGCAGAAAAAGATAAAGTACTCATCAGTCCCGGGTAGACTGTTGGCAAGGGGACACCAATGCCTTCCTTACCACTTTGCCTTCTGCCTGGCCCTTCCCTTCCTTTTCCTGTAATCCGAGGTGGCCAGCTGTGAATTCTATGCCTCAGTTAAGAGACTGAGGACCTTCTGGGCATGTACATTTCCCATCCTGCGTCACTCTGTAAGGAGGCCAGCCAAGCTTCTTTGAGTGTGAACCTACATACATGGAGCCAGAATTCTAAAGGAATAGTGCTGTGAGGTAAGATTAAAATACACAGTAAATGATTACATTTCTCAGCAGATCCCCAATAGTATTTTTGATGCACCTGCATACTGTTTTCTGTAATGCATACTCCAATTTATATTCCCACCAGCACTGTATGGAGTAACTTTTCCCCATATGCTTGCTAGAATGGGTTATCTTTGGTCTTTTAAAATAGCCTTTCCAACAGACACAAGGTAATGTCTAGCCATGGCTTAAATTTCTATTGCTCTAATGATTAATTATGTTGACTATTCTTGCATGTAACTGTTGACAATTTGCACCTCTTTTTTTGATAAATGTCTTTTTGGATTTTTTTTGCCCACTTCTTTTTGTGTATACCAAATCTTTTTAGTTAACCATAATACCATTTGTTTGTTTTATTTAACTGCTTATACTTTTGAAGTCATTTCCAGACATTCTTTGTCTAGACCACTGCCATCAGTCTTTGTTGTTTAGTTTTGTGTAGTAATTTTATGGTTTTAAACCTTTCATTTAAAACTTTAACTTATTTTGAGTCAATTTTTATGTGTGATTTGAGAGAAGGCCAAAATTCACTCCTCTGAACAGGATATGCGTATTCTGTTGTCCAAAAATAATTTATTGAAGACATTTTTCCTTTCTTCATTGTGTCTTTTCAGCACCTTTCGTGAAATCAGGTGACTAAAAATGGGTGAATTTGTTTCTGTACTCTCTATTCTGTACCATTTGTCTACATGTCTGTTTTATGCTAGTACCATGCTGTTTTGATTGTTATAACTTTGTAATATCCTTTGAAATCCAGCATTATTATGCCTCTACCTTGCTTCTTTTCTTATTTAAGATTTCTCATATATTTAGGGTCTTTGTGGTTCCATGTATATTTTAAGTTTGTTAAGGATTTTTTAAAAACATTCTGGAATTTTGATGAGTTGTTTTGAGATTATAGATAGCTTAAGATAGTATACACATTTAAAATATTTTTCTAATACATTAACGTGGAATATCTTTCCACTTATTTGTACCTTTTGAATTTCAAATGTCTTATAATAAAATGATGTTTTATAAGTTTAAGTAAGTAAGCAATTTAAAGTTTCACCTCTTCTTTGCTGTTTGACAAGTGCATCCGTCAGCATTTGTTTTGGGAACATACAACCCACAAACTCAATGACTTGTAAAAGCGAACAACTTATCTGTGTTACTTTGAGTTGTGAGTCATCTCAGATCAGCACATCTATCATCTACTCTGTGCCTGGACCCTGTGCCTGCTCTAAGGGATTTTCATTCAAGGACACAGGTTGAAGATCAGACTGTCATGGAGACTGTACACCATGCAGCGCACTAATTCAAGACCACCATCACCATTCCCCATATGCTGAGAGTAGCAGTTGCAGATGGCTCAGAGAGGTTCATTCTTCCTTGAGAATTTTCCTTTGCACTAGGGTACTGTCTCGGCCAAGCTTATGTCTCTCAGGGTTTTGGCACATGAGTGCCTGAAAGATACATGGGCACAAAAACCTGAGTTGCTTGAATTCTCTGAAGGCCAAGATGCCCTCTAGGACCAGAAGCATCCTCAGTAGCAACTTCTTTGCCTCTCAGCATCTTTTAATTTTGGTTTATGCTTTTACTCCCTTACAGTGTTTCTTTTAAGAACACTGCTCAATCTCAGCTTCTCCTTAACCTAGTTCATCTCAGGTTTTGTCTCTAGAGAATGGAAATTAAACAAAAGCTTATCTGGGACATGGTGTTCTTGTCGCAGAATGCAGAAACCCAACATATTTAGCCAGAACATTCAACTGCATTCTAACGTTCTGCTAGGTTTGGCCATATATCACACAGAGTTTTTCATCTTCCTTTAACTAGCAGTCACAGGAGCAAAGGACAGGGATAAATACATGTTTCCAAACAATAATATAGTTCCCTTCTATCTACCACTCAGTATGATACTTATGAAGTACATTCCTAGGCATTCACACAGCACACTCACCCCCTGTCAGTTTTATGCTGATATAGTAGAATACCTGAGAGTAGGAAATTACAAGCCTTCATATTGCATGGTTTCTTTTACATGCGAAATCCAATGTATGAACAAATTAAAGAACAAAGTAAAAGGAAATCGAGGGAGCAGAGAGGAAGGGATAATGAAGGGATGTAAAGATGTGTTATGTACTTGTCACTGTGAAGGTAATCGTTAATATGCAGAAAATGTGTTAATAGCAGTTTTTTAAAAGAAGGCTTATTTTGATTCCTAGCTCTTAAGGCTGGGAAATCGAACATCAAGGCATTCACATCTAGCAACTGTCTTTCTGTATTTCCTTTGCAGAGAATAGGAGGGCAAGCACTGTGGAAGAAACAAAATGAGAACTGGAAGTGGTGGCACACACCTCTAATCCCAGAACTTTGAAAGTCAAACACAGGTGGGCTGTGAAATCTGAGCTCAGACTGTGCAATTTAGCGAGACCCTAACTGAAAATGAAAAATAAAAAGAGGACTTGGGTTGTAAGTCTGTACAAAGGCCTTGTGTTAAACTCCGGTTACCAGAAAAAACATAAAGAGGGTCAGAGACTAATGGAAGGCTTGCTTTCTAAAACCCTGCTGTGATGGTAACTACTTCTAGTCCCAAGTAAGCAAGAGCTAACTCATCATAGAGGCCATGCCGTGAGAACCTAATACTACCTATTAGACTCCACCTCCAAACATCTGCCGCATTGAGGATGGAGGCTCAGTATGATGTTAGTGGAGACAAACCATATCATCCTTTGTGAGAACTATACCCCCTAAGTCACTGGGATAAAAGCCAAAGATTTTATATCATTATTTTTTGTACCAGGAATCAAACTCAGAACCTTGCACTTGTCAAACAGGTGCTTGTGCTGCTGAGCTATATCCTCAGCCGAAAAGTTTATAATAGCCTCTGCATCTTATGGTATCAATGAGAAAAGCTTATCCAGACCATTATTGGTGCATTAAAGCTTCTGTTAGGCCCTGCTGTATGTCTTGCAGACCAAAAATCTATTGAAAAATTACACAGCCAAGACAGTAGGTAGAAACATCTATTCCACAAATAGGTCTGGGGGTAAAGAATTAATATTTGTGAATAAAAGTGTGATCTACCCATGAGTCAGTTATTTTACAATAATTCTACAGACTAAGAACCCACACAACTTCAGTAGCTCAAAACAAGAGAAGTTATTGTAGCTTTCATCCTTTCTTACTGGCTAGGGTGACTGTGCTGAACTCGGTTATGTTGGCTCATGGTTTTATGGTCAGTTGGAGTGGGTACATCTAACCTAGACTTGCTCAAACTGTAGATATGTCTGACTTTGTTCATTCCATATATCATGATCAGGCTCTGGACAAAGGAATCACTCCCTGGTGGAAATTATTTTCTTCCCAATTGCAGAGGTAAAAAAAGACAAGCACTCTAGAAATAGACACAGTTTCTTAAGATTTTGCCTTGCAAGTGGAATATTACCACTTCTGCTTCATTCAGTTTTCCATAAAAAGAATCATGGCCAAGAGCAAAGCCAAAAGTGGAGAATTATCCTCTTGCCTCTGTAGTGGGAAGAATTGTAGTCACATGACATAGATATAGTCAGAGGTGAAGAATTAGGGCCAATAATGCAATCTGCCATACCACCAAACCCCATATCCATTAAACATTATAAATGCTCTCTAGATTTTAGTTGTCTTTCAAATTAGAAATAGGAAATGTTAAAAGTCACTTTATTGCCTATGAATGAATTATAGCTCACTAATTGCTGCCTAAGTCAGGGAGTCCTGGGTGAGGCTCCAGGAAAAAGGGAGGTGGAGAAGTATGTTGAAAGCTTTCAGAGAACATGTGGTACATCTGGGGGAACTGACGTATGTTTTTGGAAATCTAGTGAACCATGTTGGTCTGCTTTTTTTAGTAATAATATGTGTGCTTGTTAATGCAGGCAGACTGTACCTGTGTCTTAAAAGTATGTGACCTTAAAAAAAAAAAAAAAAGAATTGACTTCGCTAAGTCTGTTTTTGTCTACACAGTTGGACAGGTTTCTACTGAATAGATGGTTGTAAGGAGTGCACCAAGGCAGGCCAGACTCTTGACAAAACCCAGTGAATGCTGTGTATAGTTGTACTGGTATCACTGCCTTATTTTGATATACATTTTACATATAGTTATAGGATAATAGATATATGGTACAATGCTACAAAATGTTGAGAAGAACATCATAATTCCTCTTGTCTAGGCGTGACCAGCATGTTTGAAGAAATTGTTCACCTCCAAGAAAATTCCTTAAACTTGTATATGCTCTAGATTTTATTCTGGACATCTCCTCAGCATGTTTATTGATATTCACAGCAGAATATCTTCTCTTGTTAAATGTGCTATTTGGGGATATAATGAAAGAGAACATGGCTTATAAAACCTGAAATAATTTCCCAAACTCCCAGATGACTCATGCATCCTATTTTCCTTACCATTGCACATTTATTTTTAGTATTGATTGAATTATTCAATTTTTATGGTTAAGAACAATAAATAGAAATTTATCCTGATGGATGAATTAGGATGAAATGTGTCACCAGCAAGTGTCTTTAACATTGAAGTTTGTTTTAAACATGTATGATGGTGTTTGATTCACTTTAAAATTTACATACACAAAATACAAATCCCTGAAAAAGAAACTCCATAGTTCACAGCAGGGCGAGTTATCAGAAGTTTTCCTTCTAAATGAGTGCTGCCCTAACTTCATCTGTTTTTAAAAATAAATGTGCTGATCAATATCATGAATAATTAAGTGAAAGGAGTTGTGGGATTTGGGGCTGTTTTCCTTTTAGTAATTGTAAATTCCATTTCACAAAGCCACAGCTCAGTAGCTAGGAGGAACAAAGTCTGGCTTTCTCCTTATTCATTAAAAAAAAGTTCTGCATGATAAAATGTAATTCTAGAAAGATTTTTGCTTAGGGAAGATTTTGCTTGAAATATAGACGTGTATCACATGTATTACTCATATGAAGAGGTTTATATATCTAAAAAAATCATTATTCTAATGAAAGTGATAAGGTGTGGTTTCCTGTTCAGGATCAAACCTAGTGTACATCTGATTTTGAGGAGTTTGTGAATTGATTGGCAGATTGTTTATGTGGTACCTGTGAACTAATGGTTGTGAGTGGAGAACTTTTTCCCTGCTTCCATTAAGCTGAACTTTTAGAGTTCTATATAAATGGAATGGACAGTGTACATAAATTGCTAGGATAGTTTGGAGGATAGGTGGAATGTGATCGAATTTCAGGGTACCATTGATCACATCTTTAAAGGTAAGGGATTAATCTCTGGTCACTTCCTATGTTTATAGTGTGTCTAGACACCATGTTGAAGACTTTGAACCTCTGCCTCATAAATAGTGCTATTCTCCCATGACAATTATAGAGTTTCCAGTTTGAAGTATCTTTGGTGTTCAAGTTCATTACATTCTATGATTTCTAATTCATTGATTTTGGAGGAAAAAGTACACTTATTTAAACTTTGTAATAAATTGTGGATTTTTGTTTGTATATTGTTTAGTACCTTTGTGGAAATAGGAAGTAAAGTTTTGAACATTGCCTAAAATACTATGTGTTTAATTGTAAAAGAGACTAATAGAATTGCCCACTAGCAAGTTAACCTATCTCTCTGCCAGCCTCATGGCAGCCCTGTGCTAGCCCTCATCTCCAGGAAGTATAAAATAGATCGAATGTTCACAGTCTCTTCGCTATCTGCCTGTGCTTTTCAGCTCATCTCCTTCTCTCACTGTCCACAAGTTAGGGAAATAAAATGCTCCAGGGGGAGTGTCTTCTCTTGGCTTCCATGTTCCTTAGTTTTATTTACTTCTCTGAATCCTTCATCTTTACCCTGCCTCAGGGAGAGTGAATTGTCAGTCACTCCATCTCCTGTTACTCCCTTTTAGTGCGACTTGGAGAGAGGAGGGTTTTGGAAATCATGTATGTTAGACATTTCTGTTCTATCAGAATTTGCAAATTAAAAAAAAAAATTTCCAAATCGGTGAAACGTCTTGCTTTATTAAGATGTATTTCTTAACAGATACTAAATAGTAGAGGCTGAAGCTAGTATTGTTCCCATTCTTAAAACATTCTCAACCAGTACACAGATGAGATAAGGTTTTTATATGGTGCACTTCCTTAACTATAGAGTCTTCGAAAACTGAACCTAGTGAACTTTAATTTCATGTGTGTAATCAACTTCTTGTAGCTCCTATGAGATTAAAAGTAACAATTTCTAGCACTAGGCACTCGATCACTCATAGTTCTAATCTTTTTGTACAAGTAGTATGTTCTCTACATTCATGAAAAGTGTCCCTTTTTGTAAGCACTTATATTTTATAGAACCAGCAGCAGTTCTACACTAGTATGCTAACATTTCTGGAAATGTAATTTGGAAGCAACTTGCCTGCATATCACTTTTTGTTCACAAGAAAATCACTTTTATACCAGAAATTGTCATGAAACAGAAGAGAAAATAGTTTCCCTTCTTTCTGTCACTTATATGACTTGAAACTTTGGAGATAATTCAGGAGGATCTGAGATGAGACTATCACAAAGCTCATGTATTATGTATGTCAGACCACGAAAAAGTCATTAATTAGCCACAATGTATTATAGACTCTTTGTCAGAAATTGTTCCAAAGTGAAAACAAATTTGCCAAGCTATAAAACTCTCAGTTAATTTGCTAGTCAGAATTTGTGTGCCATCTTCTAAAAACAAAACAAAACAGAAAATACTTGACATCTTATATAAATTAGAATATTGAGTTCATTTACATATTCATTTACATTTCACCAAGCTAAGTTTATTTTAATTCTGTATTCAGGTCTGGAACATACTAGGTGCTTGATGACTGCTGGTTTTATGAAGTAGTAAAAGGTGGTGATTTTTGACTTAGTTTTATATACTTTTGTGTAAATATATGAAAAAAAGATTTTCTAGGGAGAATTTATGAGTGATGAGACACATAATTCACAGATTTAAGGTTTCAAAAACCAAATTTATTAAGAGTGATATAGGTTAGCTTTCCAATAGAGGTGACCTATTTTCATTTGGAATATAGTTCCTGTTATGAGTCTCTGCTTTACCTTTCCTTCCCTGCAGGTAAACAAGAACCCAAAATACAAGTTGAGAGCAGTTGCCACATAGACCAGTAATGTTTTGAAGTCTCAGGGAGCAGGAAAAGTGGTTGTGGTACTGTCATTAGCTTCTTAAAGTAAGAATTATTAGATAAAATGTGTGTTTAATTTTGTTTTTCAGTTTACTGACTCATATTTAGGCTAAAAGTGTTTTTTTTCACAATTCTTAAATCTAATTTGAACCCTCCCATCTTCATGAATCATCATTTCTTATCTCACTATATATGGAAATCAATAATTAGTGACCTAT